ACATAGGTGATTTCTTATTACAAGTAACCCGCATTACTTGGCTCGATTTACGACGCATAAGAATCATTAAAAATCTATTGCTTAACCTTCAACCTTACGGGCATCACTGTTACATCATAGGAATGGACAGGAGGTAATACCCTCATAGTGATTTTATCAAATCTTTACAGTTAGATTTTCTCATTGAACCTAGATCTTGGGATCTTCAGTCAACTAGGTTGGGTTTTTCTTTGTAATGACTTATTCTTTCAAGGGCTTAAGTCTCATTCCTTTCGATGATTTCATAACTAACTCTCTATTTAACCCTTTGGTTAGCGGATCCGCAATGTTATCTTTTGACCTTATATAGTCAATAGTGATAACTCCATTTGAGAGTAGTTGTCTTATGGTATTGTGTCTACAACGTATATGTCTAGACTTACCATTATATATGTTACTCTGTACCCTTCCTACTACCGATTGACTGTCACAATATATGCAAATTGCTGGCACAGGTTTTGACCATCTTGGAATATCCTCTAAGAAGTTGCGCAAACATTCAGCCTCTTCACCACATTTATCTAGAGTTATAAACTCAGATTCCATTGTAGATCTGGCTATAACCGTTTGCTTAGAGGATTTCCACGATATGGCAACACCACCCAATGTGAACACATATCCACTGGTGGATTTTGAGTCTTTTATATTAGATATCCAATTAGCATCACTGTATCCTTCAATGACTACTGGATATCTAGTGTAATGTAGTCCATATTCACGAGTATCTTTTAAGTACCTTAATACTCTTACAATTCCTTTCCAGTGATTAGCTCTTGGATTACTCGTGTATCTACTCAGTTTACTGACTGTGTAGGCTATATCTGGTCTAGTACAACTCATTAAGTACATTAGACTTTCGATAACTCTCGAGTATTCTACTTGAGAGATACTTTCTCCTTTGTTTTTAGACAGATGTTGACTCGTATCTATTGGTGTTTTAGCCAAGTCAGTATCATCCTTATGGAATTTTCCTAAAATTTTGTCCACATAATGTGGCTGATTTAGAACAAGCCCATTTGATGTTTTTGAGATTTTCACTCCAAGTATAGCATCAACTAAACCCATATCTTTCATGTCAAATCTCGAGTTTAACATATTTTTAGTGGATTCAATCATCTTATTGTCACTACCAACAATAAGCATGTCGTCAATGTAAAGATAAAAGATGACATATCCATCTTTAGTATCTTTAACTTAAACACATTTGTCACATTCATTAATTTTAAATACACTCTCAATCAAGACATTGTCAAATTTTTCATGCCATTGTTTTGGTGCTTATTTCAATCCATATATTGAATTCACCAGTTTACAGACTTTCTTTTCCTGTCTTAGTGACAAAAACCCCTCAGGTTGTTCTATGTAAATTTCTTCTTCTAAATCTCCATTTAGAAAGCCAGTTTGAACATCCATTTGATGTACTTCAAGATTTCGCAAAGCGGCAATCGCAAGTATCATCCTAATAGATGTTATTCTCGTCACTGGAGAATACGTATCAAAGTAATCAAGGCCTTCCCTTTGTTTGTAGCCTTTAATTACTAATCTGGCCTTATACTTCTCGATAGTTCTATCTGCTTTCATTTTCCTTTTGAAAAATCATTTGTAGCCTAGTGGTTTGCTTCCTAGAGGAAGATCCACTAGCTCCCATGTATGATTTTGTAGTATGGAATCTATTTCACTTTCACTAGCTTCTTTCCATTGAGATTCTTCCGAAGAATTCACTGCTTCTTGATAACTTTGAGATTCACTTTCTACCATATAGGTCAGAAAATCAGGACCATAAGATTTTTCTGTCCTTTCCCCTTTGCTACGTCTAACCTCAGTCCCCTCTTCTAATTCTTCGTTCTGACTATTTTCAGTCATTGTCTCATATGTTCGTTTAAAGGAGCTTGCTTCCTCTTTGGATTTGTAGGGAAATACTTCTTCAAAGAATGTAGCATTCCTTGATTTCATTATCGTGTTTTTGTGTATATCTGGAATTTTTGAATTATACACAAGAAAGCGATACGCACTGCTATTATGTGCATAGCCAATGAAGACAAAGTCTATAGTTTTTGGGCCTATCCTTATCTTCTTTGGTGGTGGAACATCCACTTTAGCAAGACACGTCCACACTCGCAAGTGTTTATAGGTAGACATTCTTCCTTTTCA